TGTTGCATCATAGTACTTGTCAATTTTGATTTTGAGTAATTCTAACTTTTCCTGTGGCAGTCTTGCTTCCATTTTAATTGTGTCCAATTCTATACCATACACAATTTGACATGTTTTTGGCTTGCATGTTTTTGAGTCTTTGATTGGAAGACCAATATTTTTTGCTACTTTGAGAAAAGTTTCGAGATTTTTGTTGCAGGTTCCATATGTCTTGCCAATGAAAACGAAATCATCGAGATAGTGAGAGGTGTCTTGTATTCCAAAGGAAATGTTCAATATTTTCTCGAGATTGGAGCTAAATCTCTCAAAAATTTGGCTGGAAGAAGCGCAACCTTGTGGCAAAACTGTATCATAATAATACATATCATTCCATGAAAAACCTAACAGGTGATGGTCCTCTTTACAAATAGGAATAATTCGGTAAGCATTTTCGACGTCAGATTTTGAAATAAAAGAACCCCTCCCATTTTTTTGGATTAAATGGATAACTTTGTCTATGGAGTCATAGTGAACTGATGAAGCATGTTCGGAGATACCGGCATTCACTGAGTTGGACTGCCTACTGGGGAAACTTAGGTCATGTATTACTCTGAATTTACCATGTTCTTTCTTTGGAATCAGGCCAAGAGGTGAAGATCTAAAATTTTTCAAGGGAGGATTTGAGAATGGTCCAATAATTCTATTAGCGCTTAATTCTTTGTCTAGATATGCTTCAATGACCTTTGGGGACTTGTTAACTGAATTATGGTTGTATGTGATTGAGGATTCTATATTCCTGGGGCCCTCATATTGTAATTGGAAACCGACTGTAAAACCATTTTTCAGAAAATTGTGTTCAGATTCATTTAGGCATTGCATAATTGCTCCCAAGGATCTCACATTAATCGGTGTTATGATTTTGTGTGTCTGTGCACTTGAAAGCAGACATTGGGGATGTGTGTGTTTCTCTTTTGCATTTAAAGCATAGATGTTTGAATTTGCAGGAGGAGTTTTTTGTACATTTTCCAAATTTTTGGAATGAGAAACAGTATCCCTTTGGGATGGTGGATTGTTTGTTACCGGAGTATTTTTTGTCTGGTTTTTGGTTGACTGGCTTTTGGGTTTCAAGAAAGGGCTGCCCTAGGCGTAGTGAAACTTTTGAGAAAAGTTCAGTGTTGAAGTGGTCCCATTGAAAATTCATTTGCTTCTTGTTGAGTCTAAAGTTTTCATCATAGAGCTTAGCTGTTTGAAAGTTTCCGTATTGGGCCATTTCTCTAATATCTTCACCATATTTCAATAGCTTGGTGACCTCATTTTTGTGTGCTTGGCAATAAATTGATGTGTAAATGTGAAAAGCAGTTGTCCAATTGTTTATATTGTATATCAGGTTCTTTACCTTTGGGGGGTTAACAAGATCGCTTATAGCTTGACTTAGGGGGTTAACTAGTTTTGGTCTTAAATCTTGAGTGGCTGTTAATAGTTGGTTGAAATCTACATAGGCGTTTGAGACAATTTGTTTTTTAATTTTTTCTTCAATTTTGGATGTTAGGGGAATTCCTGCCCCTGTTAATGAAATAATATTTGGTGGTGCCAAATGATAGGACTCACCCGCACTGGCCTCTTCTGTGGGAGCCTTCAGGAAGTTCTCTATAATCTCTCCCATGTTTGAATCTGGCGGAGAAGCTGAAGTTGAAGGTGACGGTTCCTGCTCTTGCCTGAGCTTTTTGAACAAAGACTCCACAATTGCATCCCTGTCAGCTTCACTCAGACTTCCTGATTGTTTTCTCTTTTCCCCCCTATTTTGAGTGGCAGGTTCAGAGGCTGTATCCCCTTGCACTATGGTTGACCTATTTGCACTTCTTAGTTTTGGCATTGTGGTTTACCTGGAATACAGAGGGCAGCCAGAGAATTTTTGGAAACATTGTGTTCTTACAAAAATAAGGTTATGAGGAAATGATTAAATTGCGTCTCATAATGAGAGACTAATATATAACACATATAAAAAACAACATGAGTACTGCATCTCATAATGAGACGACTCATATATAACACATATAAAAACAGCATGAGTACTGCATCTCGTAATAAGACGACTCATACATAACACATATAAAAACAACATGAGTACTGCATCTCATAATGAGACGACTCATATATAACACATATAAAACAACATGAGTACTGCATCTCATAATGAGACGACTCATATATAACACATACACAAATAGCATGAGTACTGCATCTCGTAATGAGACGACTCATACATAACACATATAAAACAACATGAGTACTGCATCTCATAATGAGACGACTCATATATAACACATACGAAAACAGCATGAGTACTGCATCTCGTAATGAGACGACTCATACATAACACGTATAAAAACAACATGAGTACTGCATCTCATAATGAGACGACTCATATATAACACATATAAAAACAACATGAGTACTGCATCTCATAATGAGACGACTCATATGTAACACATATAAAAAAACAGCATGAGTACTGCATCTCGTAATGAGACGACTCATACATAACACATATAAAACAATATGAGTACTGCATCTCATAATGAGACGACTCATATATAACACATATAAAAACATGAGAACTGCATCTCAAATGAGACAACTCATATATAACACATATAAAACATGAGTACTGCATCTCAAATGAGATCGTTCATACCAGAACAACTAAATGTTTACAACTTAAGATATTACTCTGCTGGGAATGATGGTGGTGATAAGGACTTACCAATATGGATATCCCTAGTAAGGATGAGTGATCTTTTTAGATTATCATGAAATCTTTGGAGGCCTATGTCATTTAGATGAATTCCATCCCAGATTGTTTGATTCTTAAGTCCGTGAAGGTTTAAACCTTTGTTTGGAAAAATCATTATTTGTTCCCTTGATAGATGAAAATTACACTTTTTGGCAGGCTTTCCTAATAAATGCCATATATATTCATTCACTTTATCCACTTTTTTGTTATAATCACTTGTACTTGGATGTATTCGGTGGAATAATAGCCCAATGCTGACGCATTTTACAAATTCATGTTGCAACAGATAGTTGCCAACTGATATAATGGCATTGGCAATCCTCTCCGGGTCTGAACCAGGGATGTCAATATCATTCTCTCCCATCTGGAGATAAATCAGCTCTGGTGCAAGTGTTGATATTTGTTTATACAAATGTGGAAGGAGGTGTTTTTTCTTGTTTTGAGATGATGATGTTAGAAGAACCCCTCCCCGTATACCTTGACACTCGATTTCAAATTCTGATGCGTTTAATTTAAAGTTAGGTGAGCTTTTTTCAGTGAAGTTCCTCAGCCAATATATGAAGGATTGTCCGAATATGAGAGTCTTTACCGCTGCCATACTAATCCCAGCAGAGTACAAATAGGTTAGGTGTAATGTACACTTACCAAGTTTGCTGATAAAACTGATTTCCTAAGTACTCGTAATATCCAATGTAAGGCTTGATGACCTGTGTTTGAGTCAATTCTCCTTTTTATGAATTTAAAAAACTACTACAAAAGATTTTTACTATAATATAAATCTATATATATATATATATATATAATGACTATGAAAATCAGTTAAAATCTATTTTATAAATGTATCGATATCTAGGCTCTAGGCTGTAAGTTGAAATATCTGTAAAAGATTTTTACTATAATATAAATCTATATATATATATATAATGACTATGAAAATCAGTTAAAATCTATTTTATAAATGTATCGATATCTAGGCTCTAGGCTGTAAGTTGAAATATCTGTGAATGAGACTAGGTAGTTTGTGAAAACAGAAACCCTAGAGCCTGGAAGATTCTGATTGGTTACTGATGTTAGAAGTTTAAAAGGTTAAATATTGCATCACCACACAAATATCCTAATGAAGCATTAGGGTCATTTATATTCATAAATTGAAGTTTTTTTTGAACGAATGTAATGCTTTATGTATTGTAAATGTTTCAGTCATGCGCGTTGAGCAATTTTAAAAATCATCCTAACCCTCCCACCCTTTATTTATTTAAGGAATATACCACAGGGGGCGGTTAAATTGGTTGAAAGGAACAAAAAATAATTGCACTAAAAATCAAAAAATGTTAACAAAAACAGGTATAAAAATATATTTAAATAATTTTCACACTAAATTGTCAATTAGTGACCATTACATAAAGGATCGTGTTTTTGTACATAATGTTTTCAATAATTGAGAAAAAAAGTGTTGAATTCAGTTTGCCATATCGATACCAATCCTTTGTATAAAATATATGGCAAACATCAAATTGATACATTTCAAGAAATAGTAGCCTCACACTATGTATTAATTTAGGTTAATTATACGCTGGTATTAGCAGTATTGGATGTGTAATGGTATCCATGGTAATCATGGTAAATGTTTAATATAAAAATTGTTATTGACTGCTTTGAATATTAATTGTATCACATAGTGACTCTATTTTTATATATGAAGGGATGTACAGTATATAATTGTAGACCTCTCTTGAGGTCAACTGGCAAAATTGTATACCGATACTGTAAACCTTGAAACTACTGTAAAACTAAATTGGTCAACAGTACCGTGTAGAGGTCAACAGTACTTAGTAGCGGTCAAAAGTACATATTGTTTACTTTTTATTTATTTCAGAAGAAGTACAACAAGATATATTTACAATCTGCAAACTGTTGTAAATTTGCCTTAGCACCGTACATGTACAATATTACAATACAATCTTGCCATGCTCTATTTTACCCAAATGCATCATTTTATTGAACACACAATACATTCAGCATTTTACCAAATATACAATACATGCACCATTTTACCAAGTATACAATACATGTGCCGTTTTACCAAATATACAAAACAAGCATAATTTTACCAAATATACAATAGATTCCCCATTTTATTGAACACCTATACATGCACCATATCAAACAAACAATACTTGAACCATTTCTGACTCATTATCTATCTGATTTTTTCCTGTATTTTCAGGCTGTATATGCTGGAAACACCCAAGTGTGTTGTACACCAGAGAGGAAACATTAGAGTGCCCACTGACAACCTTACCTTCTGAGTTGTTACAGGAGAGGGCTCTGCATTTATTTAGGGTATGTGGAGACATCTATCATACAAAATTATAAATACCCTTGTCTTGAAAGTAGGCATGGCCTTTAATGTTGAATAACTTTATGAAACTTTGATACATCTAATAAACTTTTCTGATGATGTTATCAGTTATTACACGTTTCAGCATGTGATACAGGAAATATTCCACGAAAGTAAAAATTGTATCACCATGAAAGCGCAGCTTGAGTGGTGATACTTTTTTACTGAATGGAATATTTCCCATATCACATACGCTGAAACGTGTGATGACGATTTTATCACATACTATGTAGAAATCTAGTGATTTGATTGGTAGCTTTCTTTGTGCCAATATCATTCAAGTATGTTACTCATATCATGTATTTCATGACACACACTATCTCATGTACTGTATGACTTGCAAATATCATTCAAGTATGTTACTCATATCATGTATTTCATGACACACACTATCTCATGTACTGTATGACTTGCCAATATCATTCAAGTATGTTACTCATAACATGTATTTCATGACACACATTATCTCATGTACTGTATGGCTTGCCAATATCATTCAAGTATGTTACTCATAACATGTATTTCATGACACACACTATTTCATGTACTGTATGACTTGCAAATATCATTCAAGTATGTTGCTCATATCATGGATTTCATGACACACACTATTTCATGTACTGTATGACTTGCAAATATCATTCAAGTATGTTACTCATATCATGTATTTCATGACACACACTATCTCATGTACTGTATGACTTGCCAATATCATTCAAGTATGTTACTCATAACATGTATTTCATGACACACACTATCTCATGTACTGTATGACTTGCCAATATCATTCAAGTATGTTACTCATAACATGTATTTCATGACACACACTATTTCATGTACTGTATGACATGCCAATATCATTCAAGTATGTTACTCATAACATGTATTTCATGACACACTCTATCTCATGTACTGTATGACTTGCAAATATCATTCAAGTACGTTACTCATATCATGTATTTCATGACACACACTATCTCATGTACTGTATGACTTGCCAATATCATTCAAGTATGTTACTCATAACATGTATTTCATGACACACACTATCTCATGTACTGTATGACTTGCCAATATCATTCAAGTATGTTACTCATAACATGTATTTCATGACACACACTATTTCATGTACTGTATGACATGCCAATATTATTCAAGTATGTTACTCATAACATGTATTTCATGACACACACTATCTCATGTACTGTATGACTTGCCAATATCATTCAAGTATGTTACTCATAACATGTATTTCATGACACACACTGTCTCATGTACTGTATAACTTGCAAATATCATTCAAGTACGTTACTCATATCATGTATTTCATGACACACACTATTTCATGTACTGTATGACATGCCAATATTATTCAAGTATGTTACTCATAACATGTATTTCATGACACACACTATCTCATGTACTGTATGACTTGCCAATATCATTCAAGTATGTTACTCATAACATGTATTTCATGACACACACTGTCTCATGTACTGTATAACTTGCAAATATCATTCAAGTATGTTACTCATAACATGTATTTCATGACACACACTGTCTCATGTACTGTATAACTTGCAAATATCATTCAAGTATGTTACTCATAACATGTATTTCATGACACACACTGTCTCATGTACTGTATAACTTGCAAATATCATTCAAGTATGTTACTCATAACATGTATTTCATGACACACACTGTCTCATGTACTGTATAACTTGCAAATATCATTCAAGTACGTTACTCATATCATGTATTTCATGACACACACTATCTCATGTACTGTATGACTTGCCAATATCATTCAAGTATGTTACTCATAACATGTATTTCATGACACACACTATCTCATGTACTGTATGACTTGCCAATATCATTCAAGTATGTTACTCATATCATGTATTTCATGACACACACTATCTCATGTACTGTATGACTTGCAAATATCATTCAAGTATGTTACTCATATCATGTACTTCATGACACACCCTATCTCATGTACTGTATGACATTCTTAAATCATTCATGCCTGTTCAAGTGTAGATCACAATATTCCCCTACAGTGACATGCTGCCTCATATTTTTAGAATTGTCACATGTTTATGCATCGTAAGATTGACTCACCCGCCATCGACTACCACGTGAATATGGCGCAGAGGGTCACTGAGGAGTGCCTTCTTTTCCCAGAACTCCAAAATGAAATCTACTGTCAGCTGATCAAACAAACCTCTCCACACCCACCTCAACACAAAGGAGGAGTTCAGGTATGACACCTCAGCCGCTTCGCTCACATATGCCTAACGTTAAATATCTACTTAAGATGAAAATTAAATTACATCAAAATATTTTTTTATATATATGCTTAATTTTTTTAATAAAGTAACACATAGACAGTATTCTAAAGTGGTAATTACTTAAGTAAAATGCATACAATAGATGTATATTAAAATCAGCAAGTGGTACTTCTTGTCATGGGATAATAGTTCTACATTCACCATGTTATTCAATATGCTTGTGGAGAAAATGCTCTCCTGTCAAGAGTTGCTTAATTCATGAAATCATCAGTTATTCATAAGTGTCTCACATTTGATTAGTCTACAAATGGTTACTATGGTAACTGGATGATTCTATATTTCAGAACCTGTTGCTATGTGGCAACAAATCTTGGTTCATGTGTGATGCTAACCCACCTGCAAGCCCTTCGTGCTCAAACATGGACCTCTACAACTCCAAACTAAACCCAAATAATACAGTTTTTATTCAAGGTAATTATTGTCCCAAACTGGATTTATATATTGTGTTTTAAACATGTTTTAATTGTAAGTAACGTTTCGCTGTTTAAGCAAATGTAATTATGTTTTGGGTTGACCCCACCCTCCCCTCAAAAGTAAGGAAATATAAAATGATCATTTTAGATCATAGAATGTTTTATTTATGTGAAGAATCGGGTTATTTAATAAGTATTCACATGTCGAAGCATTACATAATATGAGGTTAATTCCAGTACTGTATTTACTTTCTTCATAGATTAATCTTAATGTTACCTATCTAGTATAATGTTTAATGGTGACTCTCTTATAAACCTGCAATTGCTAGGTGTAGTTTTACTATTAGTATGCTTGATTTTGATTGTGTTCGATTTCAATGACAGTTTATGATTTGATTTGTTTTATAGGCTGGCAGTTGCTGTCAATGTGTCTATCTCTGTTCTTACCCAAGCAAGGAATCTTGTGGTTCCTCAAGGCACATCTGCAAAGAAATGCGGACCCAAGGTATGTAGTGCATGATGAACCTATCACCTCTGTTTCCCTACATATCTCAGGCTGTTTATTAGGGATATGTACTGGAGGTTTTGAATATAGGGTTTATCCTGTGGGAAATATGAATATTACATTTCCCAAAAGACTAAATGCAATTTAGAGGCTTACAGTATGATGAAAACAAAGAGAAATGGATTTGTTGTCATATTTTATATACTTTTAGGACAGAGATTGGCAAGTATGCAGTGTTTTGTCAACGAGCCCTCGAGAGAACTCTTTATAATGGAGGTAGAGAAAGCAAACCCTCTCGAATGGAGGTCCTGTCGATTTTATTACGCAATCCATTCCACCATTCTCAGCCAATCAGCATTCCTGTTCATCTAAGTAACGAAAGTTATCAGGTAAAACACAAAAGATTTAGTTCAATGTTTCTCCAACTTATCACATAATAGAAACTGACATTTTTCAATTTAGACTGTAAAACCTTTATAATACTTTCTGAAAAAAAGAGATAGAAAATGAATTAATAATAAAGATACTTTTAGAAACCTGTAAGCTCAGGAGTTCAGATTATTAGAACACTATGAACATGCTCTTATCAACTGTCACATACAGTCTGTGTTTTTCTAAGAAAAGATAATATGAAATTGATAATAGGATAATTTACAGCTGCCAGTTTAATTCACCATTATTTGTTCAATAAACAAAAAGCTGCAAAGACAAGTGGATTAAGATAAAGTACTTTATATGCAGGACACACTGTAGCATATTGAGGTGATACACCTCCCATATACAGGGTGTCCAAAAAAAACAGGACCGTAAGAAAGTTGAATAACTCGGCCAATTTTTGCCTTGAAATTTCAGAATTATTTAGTTCATTCAATGTGAATTTTGTTGTGAAAGTTTGATAATAATCTGCTAGTTGAGTCAAAATCTACACTTCCTTACAAAACATGCCCCAAATGTGCACCTCTCTTCTCTATGCACAATTCAATCCAGCGAACAAAGTTGTTGATGATCTTCCTCCACATATATCTCTCTGAAGAGACAAGTTTATTCCAAGAACAATTGAAACTGGGGCTTACATCCTCCTGATGAAATGTTACAACATTCATTGCATTCTGAACAATGCACTGCCTGCGTGGCAATGAGGAAAACTGGAATCATCAGTCCTTTTTGGTTAGAAGGTGACTGGGGACGTGCTTTCACCATGAACAAAGACCAGTAAGTTCTCGCTAAGTTTTGGAGGTCACTAAGCACCAGAAGGGACATCTAAGGAGACAAGCAGTGGTTTCAACAAGCCAATAGCACCCTAACACTGCAAATGATATGCTGAAATGGTTTAGGCAATGCTTTGGTGGTCAGCTCATCAGTTGCAGAACGCAAACCATATGGGCAGCTCATTTGCCAGATCTAAATCCCCCAGATTTTTATCTTTGGGGATTTGTCAAAGCCAATGTGTATACTGACAGGGCCCTAACAATCTTAAGAGGGCAATAACTACCCCAATATCTACCATCCACATTGATGTGTATAGGTTAGGGTCATTAACAACTTGGTTCACAGTATTCGTTTGTGTATAGAGAGAAGTGCCTACCTTGAGCTTGTTTTGTAAAGTACTGTAGTTTTTGACACAATTTACAGATTATCATCAAACTTCCAGAACAAAATTCACATTGAATGAACTAAATAATTCTAGGCAAAATATGCAAAATTGACCGAATTATTCAACTTTCTTATGGTCCTGTTTTTTAGGACACCCTGTACATATGGAATAGATTGAAATATAAAATGATACATGCCAGGTGAATAGATGAGCCACAAAGTAGAGTTTATACACACATGTGGAAAAGATCTGATAAAAAAATAAAAAATGATATATGAGTTAAGATATACATCATAAACACCTCATTAATCAATTCTTTTATCAAATTAATTCAGTTTTGGATTATTACTTTTTTACCATCGTTTTTTCACATGTTCCTTGGATCATTTTTTAATTGGGATTGAAAATTGCAATTCATCATATTGACTAATTACTCCAGATACTAAATTTTATTATTCAGAGAGGTATTTTATTTTACATTGAAGTTTTGAAGTCATATACAGGGTGTCCCGAAAGTATGGGGCCCCCCTAGGCAGACATATACCAATGTCTCCATAGTATGTGTCATATATCATTTTAAAGCTTATCCAAAGTTACATTGATTCGCCAAGTATCATGGTTTAACTCCCAAATGGGAAAAAGTTACAGTCGTTTTAAAAGTTAGTGTTTTGTCAAAATAAAGTTCAATTTTACACCATATTACTAGTCAATGTGTCCCCCCTTGGTCATGTCAACAGCAGCAATTATTTTCAGATATGACCTTAAAAGCCCTTCAAATAGGGGTGTGGAATTGTATAACCCTTTTAAAACCTGTTAAGGGACTTTAGAAGAGTTTCCTTAGAGTTTCTACCCTCACCGTTCTCTTTTTCCAACTCAATATTCATCCGACCCGTAAAGAATTGCTGCTTTTAAGATGGCCCGGAAGGACACATTGACTAGTGATTTGGTGTAAAATTGAACTTAATTTTGACCAAACACTAAATTTTGAAGTGCTTGTAATTTTTTCACATTTGAGAGTTGAACCATGATACTTGGTGAATCAATGTAACTTTGGATAAGCTTTAAAATGATATATGACACATACTATGGAGACATTGGTATATGTCTGCCTAGGGGGGGCCCCATACTTTCGGGACACCCTGTACATGTATTTTACAGCAGCATAACCAGGATTTTGATGAATTATGGTGGTCCGGGGGCATGGTGCGTTCTTAGGTATATCAAACTGTGTAATGGGGCACTATTTATTGTATACAACCACACATGACAAATTAATGCCGGTTAATGCCTTTTTACATGCACTTTTTACTTGTTATAAAACTGGCAATGCAAGCGGTAAACGGCGAGGGGCCCTTGCCGCCCACTCTCTTACCCTACTATCACACCAAACTAGTTCTCACTACATTCTCGAAAACGGGCCTAAACTGTACGAACAAATTGGACGAATTGAGAACTGTTTTGGATCTATTTAAAAATACAAATATACTATTCGCAAAAATATAGCTATCACACAAAACTAGTTCCCACTGCAGTTCCACTATTTTAGACAATATAGCCAGATTTAGCCTGTTTTACAACATTTTTGTACGACTGGAAAACAATTGAGAACTAGTTTGGTGTGGTAGGGTGGTTTTAATTCCATGCTAATCAAAAACAAAGTCTTTATGGATATGCATTAATGCCAATTAAATGAACTTAATCTAGTTTGTCACATAGTTGACCTGAGATAGGTGGTAGGATGGCGGTAGATGGTAAATACAAGGGTAGATTATTCAGTTCGAGTCGGAAGACACACAAAAATGCAACCAGAATGAAAAATGTAACTTGTCTGGATTCTTGAAGAGAAGTAGTCCAGGAAAGATCATGAAACAAAATATTTTGCTTTACTTTTAATTTTTTACAATAAATTGTTTTGCTCCATCATTTAGGGTATGCAACTGCGTACCCTCGCATATGCCTGGTTACGCACCTGTTTTATTTCTGAGTGATAAGGTGAATGAAACTGGTCAAAAGCAAGCTCATCTCTACATCATGGTATAATTATCATACATGTACCAGTTAGGTTTTCTTTCCTCTTATATCAAAGGTTTTCTGAACCTTTCCCATGAGCTTTGAACTAATGCCTATTTATTTAGCATTTATAAATGTAAATAATTTCAGGTGGTTAGTTTTGATGGTTCAACAACTGTAGAGGAGTTTCTGAACACATTGAATAGGAGTCTTAACATGAGGGCATGCAGCCAGTCTGGGTTTGCACTCTTCACAGATGATCCCCAGGGGAGAGACGTCTATCATTGTCTCAACATAGAACTGAAGGTAAGACCCCAGGCCAGATATGCATGCCATCCAATCAGTCTGGGTTTGCACTCTTCACAGATGATCCACTGGGGAGAGACGTCTGTCATTGTCTCAACATAGAACTGAAGGTAAGACCTCAGGCCAGATATGCCTGCCATACAATCAGTCTGGGTTTGTACTCTGCAGATGATCCCCAGGGGAGAGACGTCTATCATTGTCTCATCATAGAACTGAAGGTAAGACCCCAGGCCAGATATGCCTGCCATACAATCAGTCTGGGTTTGTACTCTGCAGATGATCCCCAGGGGAGAGACGTCTATCATTGTCTCATCATAGAACTGAAGGTAAGACCCCAGGCCAGATATGCCTGCCATACAATCAGCCTGAGTTTGTACTCTTCACAGATGATCCCCAGGGGAGAGACGTCTATCATTGTCTCAACATAGAACTGAAGGTAAGACCCCAGGCCAGATATGCCTGCCATACAATCAGTCTGGGTTTGCACTCTGCAGATGATCCCCAGGGGAGAGACATCTATCATTGTCTCAACATAGAACTGAAGGTAAGACCCCAGGCCAGATATGCCTGCCATACAATCAGTCTGGGTTTGCACTCTGCAGATGATCCCCAGGGGAGAGACATCTATCATTGTCTCAACATAGAACTGAAGGTAAGACCCCAGGCCAGATATGGCTGCCGTGCAATCAGTCTGGGTTTGCACTCTTCACAGATGATCCCCAGGGGAGAGACGTCTATCATTGTCTCATCATAGAACTGAAGGTAAGACCCCAGGCCAGATATGCCTGCCATCCAATCAGTCTGAGTTTGCATTCTTCACAGATGATCCCCAGGGGAGAGACATCTATCATTGTCTCAACATAGAACTGAAGGTAAGACCCCAGGCCAGATATGCCTGCCATACAATCAGTCTGGGTTTGTACTCTGCAGATGATCCCCAGGGGAGAGACGTCTATCATTGTCTCATCATAGAACTGAAGGTAAGACCCCAGGCCAGATATGCCTGCCATACAATCAGTCTGAGTTTGCACTCTTCACAGATGATCCCCAGGGGAGAGACATCTATCATTGTCTCAACATAGAACTGAAGGTAAGACCCCAGGCCAGATATGCCTGCCATACAATCAGTCTGGGTTTGTACTCTGCAGATGATCCCCAGGGGAGAGACGTCTATCATTGTCTCATCATAGAACTGAAGGTAAGACCCCAGGCCAGATATGCCTGCCATACAATCAGTCTGGGTTTGTACTCTGCAGATGATCCCCAGGGGAGAGACGTCTATCATTGTCTCATCATAGAACTGAAGGTAAGACCCCAGGCCAGATATGCCTGCCATACAATCAGCCTGAGTTTGTACTCTGCAGATGATCCCCATGGGAGAGACATCTATCATTGTCTCAACATAGAACTGAAGGTAAGACCCCAGGCCAGATATGCCTGCCATACAATCAGCCTGAGTTTGCACTCTGCAGATGATCCACTGGGGAGAGACGTCTATCATTGTCTCATCATAGAACTGAAGGTAAGACCCCAGGCCAGATATGCCTGCCATACAATCAGCCTGAGTTTGTACTCTGCAGATGATCCCCATGGGAGAGACATCTATCATTGTCTCAACATAGAACTGAAGGTAAGACCCCAGGCCAGATATGCCTGCCATCCAATCAGCCTGAGTTTGCACTCTGCAGATGATCCACTGGGGAGAGACGTCTATCATTGTCTTAACATAGAACTAAAGGTAAGAACTAAAGCCAGATATCATCTCAACACAGAACTTAATTAGTATAGGTACATCTTTAAAGGAAGGAACTCTCAACTAGCAATGGAATTTTTTCTTTCAATGTATTTTTTCCATGTAATATTGCACTGAGGCAGTTTGATTGCTTATGTTTTAAGTTTGATTTATTTGGTACATTTTCACTGCTGCGCACCAAATCCAGGAATATTGAGAGTTAAAATGTGGTGATAGCTAGTTTTTAACAATATATTTTGTACCCTTTAATGTTATTTCCATCATATTAACATGGCAAATGAATATCTATTTCCATTAACTTCACAAAGCAAAGCCATGAGATTACATGTTCGCTTAAAGGACAAAAACCTGATTATTATTAGGGATTACCTAGAATTATAGATAAATATTGCTAAAATGGTAGGCTCGAGAAGATCTTATAAGATTATTAATATTTTTACATATGTGAAAATTGATTATCACTGTAAGAAAGCTGGTTAGTTGACAGATATATTTAAAATGCAAGGTTGATGTGGATTACATGGCCCATATAAAAAAACTACTGGGTGACCCAAAAAGATTTTCAATAACTTTCTCAATTATAGTGAGCTCTTAAATTGAGTGTCAATGCAGAAAACAGTGATGTTCTTGAACTGTATAGAATTAATTTAGATTTAGAGAAATCATATTTCCTAACTAGGCCTTTGATGTCAATTATCTAGAATTGCAAGCTCGCAGATCTATCAAAGTTATGAAAGTTACATGTACATTAGTGTTGTCGCGATGTGCCATAATCGTTCATCGATGCATCGGCAATTTTCAGTAGTAAACATCGATGCACATCGCGATGTACATCGAGAAAAAGTCAGAGAAAAGTGCACTGAAATACCGAACGCTAATGCACTAAATGCCGAACATACGGTACATCCAGGAACTTCTAGTAACGGTGAAATGAAAGTAAAGTAATTTTTTAGATAAATGGTTCATTTCGACTCGCTAAAACAGTTTTAAAGCGAAAGAATATCAGAAAACATTGGAAAATGAAATAAGACATGAGAAAGGTAAGCGATTTGCGTCAAAATAAGTCAAGAAAGGGTGATTTTTAGCAAATTTTTTTTTTTTTAAAAAACATTGATGTTTTATTTCAGACATCGATGCATCGCCAGAATCAGCTTTGGCGATGTATATCGCGATGTATCGATTAATCGCGACAACACTAATGTACAGTATATAACACTTTGGAATATCTTAATAGTTTCAAGGTATGTAACTAACATCTCAGAAATAAGCTCCATGTCTATTATTTGGTTATTCTACAATGTATCTTGCCTGACTTTCACATCATTACTTTCACCACAATTATCATTCCAGTTGTTTAAAATCATCCTAGTTGTTTTCCATTTCAGTTTATGTTCACCTTGTCATTTTAGTGCATCTAATGCATTGAGGGACAGCTTGATAAACGTGTATAGAAATGAGAAAATAAAGGCACAGATGTCACGTTGAAGTTTATTAACTCTATGAAAAGTCAAGTTTTTAAATACATGTATGAATGGTCAAATTCTTTTTATCTTGTAGTACACCCTTAGCCACTTGACTACAGTCCTCAATGTATTTCAGTGGTAATGGCCAAACCCCTATATAGTGATGCCCCTGTCTAGTATGATCTCCGTCTCTTTGGTAACATAATGGAGGAGGGAGTGATATGGGGGGAATTTCAAGGTTTAGGGCTTGAAAAGATCCAGCATGGATCTTTTTATGTGAAGAAGTTGTTGGAAATGTCGTAGTTACAAGATAACTGGATTTACTTTGGGAGAAGTTATCAAGGACTTTTAGTGTTTCAGACACAGGCAAGTGTTGTAGCATCATACGACAATGAATGATATCATAAGAGTCCACGAGGGCTGTTTTTGCAATATCATGTTGCTTGAATGTCCAAGGTTCTTCTTTAAATTTTTTCTCATGTAAATCTATAAGTTGAGGCACTATATCCATCCCATAATAGTCTATGTCATCTCTTGTTGCTAGGAATCGGGACATCCATTGCATATCCCCACAGGGTATATCCAAAAGGCGAACTCTTTTCACACCTTTCAGTATCTTGTATTCATCCACAACAGAATGTAGTACCGCCATTGTTTCTTGAGCAAACTTGAGATATGATCCTCCTCCTGAAGATAAATACAACAAAACAAATGCTGTTATAGTTGTTCGAGACAGATAGGTTTATATTATATATTATATCATATTAGGGATGACACACCAATGCAGAGATCAATGGTCCTCCAAAGGTCGGGCCACATAATAGACTATAACCCTGAAAACCTTGGGCATATATGCCACGACATAACCTCCAAGTCGTTAATATATTTTTCAGGGCTAATATATTGATAATAAATATTTTTAAACTTTGCATGGGGCCTTTGAGTTATACAATTGTGAGTAGACATGATGAACAAAATCATTGAATCTCCCAAACACAAAACTTTTATGCAATAACGCATTTGCGAGTAGGTAGTTACCAGATTCACCAGCAGGTGGCTCGTTCAGGTCAGATAGCATGGCAATGGCTATAGTAGAACGTTCCCTTTAACTTAAATTACATCTGTTCAAGTGGTTCAATTTTCATATAACCCCTTTTATGTATATTAATTAATTTAATTGAAATATGTCCAGTAAAAGGAAATGTTATCTGTCAAATACAAGAAAAGATATTTCACTTTTTGTGATTTTGTAAAATGGGGTCTGTGGGGAATCAACCCAAACTTAAAGTCACATTTTCAAAGTTAAATTTTCAAAGTAGATAAACAATTTTTGAAACTATATTTCTTGATCACTGTTACAGTCAAAACAGTAATGTTTGTGAGTACTTTGAATTTAAAAAATAAGCAATCAAATGACCATATTGAAACAGTTTATGTAAAAATAGAAACATTTATATTTATCCTAACTTTTGTATACTTCAGATTTTGTAATTTAGGGAGTTTCAGCCATGTTAATTTTTCCGAAAATAACATGGCAGAGAAGTATCAAAATAGGACACAGATATGATAGCTAAACTAGAAAACAAACTAAAATATACAAAAGTTAGGATAAATATAAATGTTTCTATTTTTACATAAATTGTTTCAATTTGGTTATTTGATTACATATTTTTTAAATTCAAAGTACTCACAAACATTAATGTTTTGACCATACATGTAGATTTCAAGTATGACCTCACATTGATCAAATTTTGAATATTTAATGACGTAAATCAAGATAATTTCTACTAGCATCTATTGAAAGTGCATGCTCACCTGATACTTGTAAGTCACTTGTGTTGTCCCCTCTTCCCCACTTGTGGTTCTTGAATATGTTTACAAATGCATCTTCCCTTTTTACATCCACTTCTGGAATGGTAGCATCATGTGTGTCTTTATGTAAAACAGTCTTAAAACCTGGACTGAATGTCCTCATTGTTGCACCTGTTAAACAATTGGTGGATAAACCCTTTCTTGCATTGCTATGCTGAAGCGAGTGAAATAGATTTGTGAATTTTTCATCTGAGTAATCTACCTGGGTTTGGATTTCTCTGATTTGTGATGATTTATCCTGTACATGTGTGTTTTCTTCCTGTTGTTGTTTCAGTATATGAGTTTGCCCTGATGATCTTGGTTGCCTGAAGTAGAGTGCAAAACCAACTAAAATGATAAATCCAACTATTGCTACTGTCGGGTACTTCCTGCATCGCATCTTGTTTTCTTTTTGAAAATGTTGAACTAGATATTACTCACATATATACACTTTAAACATAATTTAAGTATAGAGTGGGCAGAATGCCCAATTGTTCCAGGTCGCTAGATTTACATGTACATGCACAGGTTCATGTAATGACTGAATAGCACTTACTTGCCCCTGTATTTAAGAACTAAGGGTACCTTCCTAGAACAAATTGTGTTTGTAATGGACATTGGAAAGATGGGTTTATGAAGAGTGAGGTTTTAGGATTTGGCAACACAAAATTCATGTAAAAAATATTAAAAATGTGTTCTCATATAAATGAGGCAATAAATATACAGTATAATGTAAGGGGCTTGGGATGGCATGATTATCCCACTAAACGAAGTTTGAGGTGGATATAGGAAAGCTGACCACCCGCCCGTCCGTCCGTCCGTTTGTCCATCTGTCCGGGCAATAACTCAAATACCGATTGACGGATTTTTTCAAAGTTTATAAGCTTATGCCTTATGAGTGTAGGACCTCTTCTCGAGAGGGAATTTTCAATATGGCCGCTCAATTCAAAATGGCCACCATTTTTCGTAAAAAATGTAATCTATGATAAGTCAATTACTAGTGGACGGATTTGGTTCCAACTTTATATGCTGATGCCTCGGAACAAATGAGCTTTAATTCAAGAAGAGATTTTAAAGATGGCTGCTGATTCTCCAAATGGCCGCCATTTTTCGCAAGTAAACATAATCTATGATAACTCAAATACCGGTATTCAAATTTGAGAATGTGTTTTGTTCAGTGGGACTTGCAACTCAGTGGAGTTTCTGTTTTTCTAGTTGTACTGAGGTCATATCACCATGGGAATCCTTTAGAATACAGCAGGATTCATAACATTTAAGTTCAAATCCAGTGAATTGGAAACTTGGCTGATTGCCAGTCACAGTGAATTTATTCTTTGGGATCTTGAACTATTCCCAAATCAGGGACTTAGCTATTTCTATTGTAGATAACTTCTATTTAGAGTGAATGGAAATCATCCATGTATAAATGCTAAAACCAACAATTTATAAACAATTTTAATTCATTTGTTTGGAATAATTGTTGTCCTATTATCAAATGATTTGGATGGCATCTTTAAAAATCAGTGTGGCTTTCAGTCAATGTTCAAAGAGAATATGAGACCTTTTCCCTCATCTGCTTTGAATCTTGTTAATGAAGAAAGTATTCCTGTGCTATATTTACATGAACATTTTAGAGACACCTGGTGTCTGTTTCATTACATAAACATTGTTTATAGAGGCACACATGAAAACAAAATAGAAGGGCACACCAATGACATTATTAAGCTTGATAATATATTGATCCCATCGATACGAAGTTCGGAGGGATATAGGGAACGCCTCCGTCCGTCCGTCTGTCCGTCCGTCTGTCCGTCCGTCTGGGCAATAACTCAAATACCATTGGCCCGATTTTGTTCATATTTCGTACACATATACCCTATGGGCGTAGAAGTTCTGCTCGAAAGCCAATTTTCAAAATGGCGGCCATTTTAGTGCCGAATTTACAGTAATTTAGGTGCAATATGTAAAACTGTAATAGCAATATGTTTTAGATGTAAAAAGATTATATAGAACATTAATAAAGCTAGAAATGTAGATATTAGAGAAGCACATGCCAGCCATCTTGAAAAATGGCGGCCTTTACTCGTTATTTTACGATTTTTGCTGTAACTCGAAAAGTAGTGGAGCGATTTTGTTCATATTTGGTATGTGAATACTATAAACATTGCACACTGTCTAAAGACACTTTTGGTAGAAGGTGGCCATTTTAAAAAATGGCCGCCATTTTAACGTATTCTACTATAACTCAAAAAGTAGTGGAGCGATTTTGTTCATATTTGTCATGTGAATACTGAAAGCATGACACAATGTCCTATGACACTTTTAGTGGAAGGTGGCCATTTTGAAAAAAATTTTGAAAAATGGTCACCATTTTAACGTATTTTACTATAACTCGAAAAGTAGTGGAGCGATTTCGTTTATATTTGGTATGTGAATACTATAAGCACGGCACACTGTCTAATGGCACTTTTGGTAGAAGGTGGCCATTTTGAAAAATGGCCGCCATTTTAACTATAACTTGAAGGTAGTGGAACGATTTTGTTCATATTTGGTATGTGAATACTATAAGTATGGCAAATGGTCTAATGACACTTTTGGTAGAAGGCGGCCATTTTGAAAAATGCCTGCCATTACAATTACTTACAATTTTATCCATTTAAGAGTGTAAAACAGTTTTTTGTCATTTTACTTAAATAACCATTGAATCTCTTGGGTCTTTAAACTCACTTGGCTTTTTACATTTAGCTCAACCCTTACTGCAGTTTCTGCCATGTAGTTGCTGCCATGTTAATGATTGCATATACTCTTAAAACTGAAGAAGGTGTCAGTTTCATCATATTGAGACCAAGGTTCTACCAAAAGCACTAAAGTGATTTTCATCACATTCACCTAAAATCTAGTTCAATATATTCTTTATCAAATTCACCTAAATGTATTCAATATGTTCTTTGTCTATGACAGAAGCAACAAGATGCCACTTCACTAATTTTGGAGAAATGATATTGTCTCAAATGGTGATTAATAAGAATTTGCTATATTTTGTATCATCTTGTTCATTGATTTTATTCAATTATGACCATGTCTACAGAATCTGAGACTTAAAAATAACGTAAAGGTCTCAAGTAAAGTTTAAAGCACTTTGGCCTATTTACATAAATTGATTTTTATAGTAAGAATTTTTGTTTGAAAAATTTTGAATTTACTTAAAATAAAATGTTAAGTTTAAGATGTCACACACATCTATTTAAAAGGGATACATTTTCTATACTTTACACCAATGCATAGCTTACTTTATAAGCTATTTTGTGTTGAAAAATTCATGAATATTTCTGAAAAACAAAACAGATCCACTTTAGAAGTGCAGAAAAGTAGTTGAGAGAAAATATGTTTTGAAAGTCCCAGGAAAAGTTTGAATATAATGTTGTTTTTTATTTTTTCATGACTTAAATTTTTTTATTTGAGACACATTTTTGCTATCTTGGCATCAGAAATTTAGATTTTTAGAGCAAAGATTATTGTAGAATTTAAAATTCTTTCAAAACTATCCCTTCAACTCCTTTTAACAAATTGTTTCTTGTATACAGGTTTGTGACGTGATATCGAAATGGGATCATTGCTTCAACCAACACAGACACTCGATGAGCCAAGATGGCAACAGAACCATTAGACTCACATATAAGAACAGGTAGGGGCAGAAATTAGCTGCTAATAGCCATCATAAAACATTGACTTTAAAATCTTGTCTAAGCATTTCCAGCCAAACTATTTCATGCCCAATACGTACAAGAAATACAATACACTTGCAGACTATTAACTTTGTCAGCTTCAACAGATATATACAGAAACATATACATATACATGTACATTAACAGAATATATTTTGTATACTGTATGTACCAGAAATCTCACTGTCTAAACAGGCTTCTCCTGCCACACATGGAGGGGAGGAGATAGAGGTCTTCAATCTCTCGAATTATACTAACTTTATCCACAATGTATTGTGCTGCAGGTTGTACTTCAAGAGCACAGTGAAGTATGAGACAGACAAGGAGAGGCTACTGCTGGTCTACCAAGTCAATGAGGATGTGTTGATGGGAAAGTTTCCTCTGAATAAAGAGCTAGCTATGGAGCTAGCTTCGCTCATGGCGCAGGTAGGTCGAAAGGTCCAAATACATCTTGGAGATTCTAGAATAATGATATCAGTAGCTGTACGAAAAAACATAGATAAATTGTGAGATATGGCTTAATTTGTAAAGCATGAGAAAGAATAAAGGACAAGATGCCTGTAGTTGGTCCATGCATATCAATTCATCCAGGGTGTCCTATCTCCAAATTTTTATATATTAAAACTTGCAAATGCAATAATTTGCAATAAACAAGATATTTCAAAATTGAATTTCCCGAAGAAGCGTATATTCTAGAAATGGACCCCTGAATAACCAAGTGATCCTTTAACCGAGTCATTTCAATTCCAGATAGAGTTTGGTGACTACAGGGGGAATGTTAGTAGGATGACGCCCCCCACACCTGCACAACAAATCCAGATAGTTGTGGATAGGTTCCTGCCTCACAGATATAGAGACATTCCTATTGAACTTCTCAGGTTAGATACAAATGAATTGATAGCTTATATTAATCTAATTGTGTCTTTCTATAGTAAGTTAAAGCTAATACACGTAGCTGTAACTCTCACATTAGATATCATAGAATAGTTTTAATTCACAACTTACACAATCAAAATACTTGGATATGAACTTTAATTTGTGAAAATATCAAGGCTTGTAAAAAGATTCATCACATAGTCAGCAGTTTGCCAAATTCCAAATTGAATAAACCACTTGTGCCTTTTCAATTTTCCAAAGCAATTAAACAATAATGCATTACTTCCAGGGACCTTCAGGCAGCCATATGTGACAAGTGGATGATGCTAAGTGGACGTAGTGTCTCCGATTGTGTCAAACTATACCTTGGTGTTACCAGAAAGTGGCAATTCTTTGGTGGGAAGGTGTTCTCGGCTAAGGTTTGTGTATCTTATATTTTTTATTGGACCTAAAAATGTTGGTTATTATGTAATGCTGCGACCTAGCACCAATGAAGTCAATTTGGAGGAAAATGCATGTAAATATTCAATGATATTCCTAGTCACTAACTACATGCACTCTCAATGTTTCTTGGTCCATATTTCTTGGTGAAAATGTGCCTTGAACATATCTAAGTTAAATGTTTGAAATTGAGACCACTTTGGAATGTTCACGTTTGGATGATGCAGGAACTTTAAAAATGATGTCACTTTGAAACAGATATGCAATGCAATATGCAGAAGGAGAAAAAAGTGTATTTAGAGAAGTGTTCTCGCTTTTTATGATCTAGTTAGCATTAGAGTGAAAAACTTTTTATATTTGCCATCCAATTTATAATAATGTACAGTAGGATCTGCTGTTT